GGTTGAACATTCCCTTTCATTAATCTGGAAGACTAATGGCTGGAGGCCAACCCTTGTGAAATGTTTTTGGTGGGTGAGGGAATGGTTTGATTAGATTTTTAAATCATATGGAATAAAGGATCCCAAGCAGCACTCAGCTTCGTATTCTGGTCCTGCCACCTGACCATCGATACAGTCTCTAAATAACTCATAAATTAAATTAATATATATTTTATTTTAAGGGTGGGAGATAAACTGAATGGGGATAGGGAGAAGTATTAACTGGGAAGAGGAGTAAAGGAACTTTCTGGGGGTGATGGAAATGTTCTGTATCTTCATAAAACCAAACTAAAGTCACTGCCATTGAGTCTAACCCAACTCATAGCGACGTCTCCTTGGGTTTCCGAGTCGGTATCACTATGGAAGTAGATTGCCCAACCTTCCTTCCGAGGAGTGGCTGGTGGGTTTGAACCACCAGTCTTCTGGTTAGCAGTCAAATGCCTTAGGCACTATGCTACCAGAGCTCCTATATCTTCATAGAGGTTTGCTTTTCAGGTTTATGTACTGTGAAAAATCATCCAATGGTATACTTGAGCATTTTATTGTAGTACTGAATTCAAGAGCCCTGGTGGTACAGTGATTAAGTGTTTGGCTGCTAACTGAAAGGTTGGCAGTTCAAACCCCCCAACTGCTTCCAATGAGGAAGTTGCCTGCCCCCAGGACCGCCTTGGGGGCTGGGGTACATGCATAAAGTGCAGCCTTACATGGAACCACCTCCTTTCTGAAGGTCAGCAGCGTCAAGGTGTGGGTGTTGGAGTGGTGCTGGTTTTCACCCTTTTTAAAAAATCAGAAAAGACCTAGATATCTGCTCCCACAAAGATTACAGCCTAGGAGACCCTATGGGACAACTCTACTCTGTCCCATAGGGTCATGACTATCAATCAGAATCCGTTTGACAATACACAACAAACAACATTGAATCCAAGGTCTGTATTACCTCACTGTATCTCACAATGTAGTGTCCCATTCCTTGACATCTGGATTATCATAAAACCTTTTAACCAATGAAGGGGGGCATCAAGCTCAACTGGCATAACATACTACGCAAAAACATAGGTCCACACCCTACTTTGGTGAGTAGCGACTGGTATCTTAAAAGCTTGTAAGCGGCTATCTAGAAACAATGATGGGTCTTTCCTCATCCAGAGCAAAGAAGAATGAAGAAAACCAAAGATACATGGAAACAATTAGTCAGTCAAGGGTCTAGTACACCATGTGATCCTCAGCCTATACGACTATGAGACCCGAAGAACTAGAAGGTTTTTGGGTACCAATGTCAACCACCTGGAGGGGGATCTATGTAGGAGATCTTAGATAGAGAGGGAGAACAATGTGGAACAAAACTCAAAATCATAAAAAAAGGGGGTACTAGGTTTGCTGGTCTGATAGAACCTGGTGGAACCCCTGAGACTAGAGCCCCTAGCTGCCCTTCAGGTCTGGAATTGAACCCAGTCCTGTGGTTTCCAACCAAACAAAAGACAGTCATATGAGCTGAACATTGACATTAGGTAGATACACTCCTTGCAGAGATCAATCATGGGAGAATAGAAGGGCTGTTTATGCACAGGGAGACAGCTCAGGAGGCAGAAGTGCATGGGAGGAAAGGACACAGGGAAGAGGTGACTATGGGGAGGAAGTGGGAGGAGAGCTGTTGCTTTGTGGGAGATTGCAGTCAATGTCATGAGACAAAGT